CATGCACGAAGAAGATCAGTAAGTTTACCAGTTAATGTAGCAATAGCTTTACCAGTTACTGATCGTGGTGGTTTAATAATAGTTTCATCTTCAAGTAGAGTACATGGAATAGGTGAAAGTCGTTTTGTATTTGAACCATCTGAATTCATTCCTAAATCATTACCACTTGAATTTGTGCCTGTTGTTGCATTTGTTGCTGATGATGGTGGTGGTGAACTTGCATTTGATGTTGTTGTTGTACTTGTTGTTATAACTGTTAATGGTGATGGAGCAGATACAGGTATTGTTGTTGATGATGTTGACATTTTACCAGGCATCATTTGTGTTTGATTTATTGTTTGTCCATTTGGACGCATATAAAATGGCAAAGGTGAAGCAAGTTGTTGTTGAAAAAATGCTCCACCAGGTGATGCTGGTGGTGCTGTTGCAGCCATAAAAAATGCTGATGGTGTTGTTTGAAATGGATGATGTTGAATTGATGAATCCGTATTATTATTATTATTATTACCAACAATCATTTGATGATGTTGTTGTATATGACGAAAAGGTGACATGGACGTTTGATGTGCAGCATGTTGCATCATTATTGTTTGATGTTGTTGTTGAACAGCAGCTAAATTTGGATCAAAAAACATAGCTGCAGCAGCATCAGATGGCATTGTTATATAAAATGTTTGAACACCAGTCATTGGACTTGTTGGAACAAGTGGACATGCTGGCATTAGTCGAATTGGACTTGGACAATAATTACTTGGCATTGAATACATGTTTGATTAACTAATTAAAAAAGAAACATAAATTATTTGTTGTTATTTATTTTAACTTAGAAAGACTTTTTTACTTTGACTTATATATGGACGACAACGTTTAAGAAATCAGGCGGGCGGGCAGGCAGTCAGGCAGGCAGACGAAACAGACAGGCAAGCACGTCTGATAGTCACACCGCGCTGTTGTATTATGATAGAGTATGCTATAAAATCGATTGTTTTTTTCTCTATAAATTTCTTCTTTTTTGTCTTCTTTATTTTATTCCGTCCGGCGATAGAAATGTTTTAACTAAATGAATAGTAGATAACGAAATGTATACACTTCTAGTATAAATAAAACAAATAACAGGGTCAGAAACAATCGATGAATATGGTCGACTAGAAGAACGAAAAATACTAGTGACCAAATACACGTGTATTTGTCTGTATATTCTTTTGTGAATAGTTAGTTGGTCGACGAAGAAAGAAAATATAGTTCGATATAAATTATCTAGATTATATTTACATAGACCAATTGAATGCCGAAAGCTTTTGTTTGAAAGAAGAAAATTAACATTAATATGATCTTTTGCTTTGAATAAATTACAAAAAAGTTTCAGAAGTAAATATCATTATTTAATTCTATGATTGAAAAATTTCACTGGAAATTTTTTTTTAAGTTAAATTGATGTTTTTATGTTCCTTTGCTAACCCTTTAAAGGTTGAGTTTTGGTAGGCCAAGTTCTGATGACGCAGTCAAATAGACCATGATCTAAATTGTTTCACAACGACTTTAGCAAAGTTTGAAAAGCAGGTTATTTTTTGACATTATCCTCATCAAAACAAGATTTCTTGATTAAATTCTTCTTATCATGATCATTTATACGAATTAGAGACACGCCGTGCAAGATAACTTTGCACATCTCTAAAGCAAATCTCACTTTCAATAGATGTTTGTCATAGGAAGACGATAAAAAGCAAGAGAAAAAAAACATACTCTTGAGATAAAACAGAGATGGATACTAGTAATTGGACGTGAAGGTATCTAACAAAAATGCCTTGCATACTTATATTATAATATAGTTGGATTCAAACATCGAAAAAATCTGAGCAACATTATCAGATTTCAGTAGTTTTAACTTTGATGCGTTGTTAATTAAATATTCTACTATTTCTTGATCATATATGAATTTTCGTAATGAAATAACAAATATAAAGACTTTCTTGAATATTTCAAGTATGACCATTCAATACATTATATCTCTCAAGTTCAATACAAAGTTCAATTTAATTCAATTGATGTGCTTCGTTTCAATAAAACAAATCATCAACAAATAAAAAGACTATTCACTAATATTAAGCCAACTATTGACACATTCAAATTATCTGTTATTAATTGTGAAAAAATGTGATACTTACCAATGCCATTTACTAATCTGAAATTGCCGATTGAGACAAACTCAATCAATCATTTACATCTTTACGTACAAATTTTAAAAAAAGTTCCTTTTGAAATAGTATATAATAAATTAGAACAAAATTTTCATCGTCCGTTGTCTATTTGTTGACATATTCATGCATATTTTGTTCATTTGGCTGTCTTTATAAAGATTTAAAGAAAGTAAAACATCAAGACGTTTTATCAAAAGAACTACATTTTCTGGTACGAGATGTTCTTAAGAGAGCGTCCATGAGAGCATCGAGTATACGAAGCACGCGATAAAATTTTTTTTTTGATTTTTTTTGCTCATTCAAAACTTCAATGTCTAAAACTACTAACCCTAGAATTTTACGTTCTAATACGCTTTCTATGAAAAGTTAGCCAATACCAACTTTTGGCACTATCGGGCCTTTTCATGGAAAAATAAGAAAAAATATTCTATAAAAGATGTGCTAGCTTGCGTTTCAGCACATCATTGAAATTTTTTGTGGTATAGATATGAGGATAGAGAATTGAAAACTGAATAAAATGAGCTAGGTTGATATAATATAATGGCTAATAATTCAAGTTTTATAGAGCAAATATGAGTCAAGGGGTGGTCCTTTTGATCAGTGCAAATAAACAGTATAACTCGTGCTGTGTTTCAGGATTAAGAGACTCCAGGCCGAATTTTATATATGTTGTGCAGTATTTTATTCTCTACAAAATGGTAAAAAAATATTTGAAAAAAAAGTTTCTCATCGATGCGAAAAAGGGTTTATACTGTCTAATTTTTTATGGTTTTTGATGGTTTTTCGATAAAAAACCAATATTTTTAGAGCTTTTTTTTGTCATAGAATAATGCTAAAGCAAAACAAATGTGATATTCGGAATCAACGTGGAAAACTGAATCCAACCATATATATTTCGTCCAAAATTTTTTCCAGGCCAAAATGAACCTGAGGGGGGGCCACGAAGAAAAATTTCTTTTAAATACAGCTGTGGGGGACCACAGGTCAGTTTTGGCCTGGAAAAACTTTTGGGCGAAATATATATGGTTGGATGCAGTTTTCCACGCTGATTCCGAATATCACATTTGTTTTGCTTTAGCATTATTCTATGACAAAAAAAAGCTCTAAAAATATTGGTTTTTTATCGAAAAACCATCAAAAACCATAAAAAATTAGACAGTATAAACCCTTTTTCGCATCGATGAGAAACTTTTTTTTCAAATATTTTTTTACCATTTTGTAGAGAATAAAATACTGCACAACATATATAAAATTCGGCCTGGAGTCTCTTAATCCTGAAACACAGCACGAGTTATACTGTTTATTTGCACTGATCAAAAGGACCACCCCTTGACTCATATTTGCTCTATAAAACTTGAATTATTAGCCATTATATTATATCAACCTAGCTCATTTTATTCAGTTTTCAATTCTCTATCCTCATATCTATACTACAAAAAATTTCAATGATGTGCTGAAACGCAAGCTAGCACATCTTTTATAGAATATTTTTTCTTATTTTTCCATGAAAAGGCCCGATAGTGCCAAAAGTTGGTATTGGCTAACTTTTCATAGAAAGCGTATTAGAACGTAAAATTCTAGGGTTAGTAGTTTTAGACATTGAAGTTTTGAATGAGCAAAAAAAATCAAAAAAAAAATTTTATCGAATGCTTCGTATATTGGAGCGATGCTCGTTCAGCTCATGGAAGCTTTCTTAATAGTTAAAAACAGTTTCGACAAACCATTCTCTTTTTAATAGTAATTTAGTCGATCGATATCATCAATTCTTTATTCTTGACTATGAAGACAACATCGTTCTAATTTATTACTAATAAAAATAATTGGATAAGATGAAAAAAGCAACTCACGAAGTTTCTCTAAATATTGTTCAATAAAACATCTGAAAAAAATTGAATCAGTCTTTTTTTTTCTGTCATTAATTCAAATATATTTACGACGAAACAACACTGTTCTTACAGCAATAATTTCATATTATAAAAGATGTCCTAAAATTTTTTAATGTACTACCCTATCAAACCATCCTCAACTAGTGATGTAAGCTGATCGGCTAAGCCGTCGCCCCCGCCCAATACATCAGCTTACACTTGTATCCTAAACTTTCTATGCAATCTATTCTAACATGAGTGAAAATTTGCAATAACGTGATTTCGATAGCACACAAGAATATTACAAACTTACTACGAATATTGATGTTCGTACCTTGAAACTTGATCATCTCCGATTTATAAATAATATTTTTTAAATCATTGATGTCAAGAAAAATATTCAACAACAGTAAATAAGTAACTAAGATATTCGACATGTTCATCTTTGATCGATTTTCGCTGCGGTGTATCATGTGTTTATCAATCTATCACTTTCTTATTGCACACAAGCAATTCAAATCAAAAGACACATCTTCATCCATCGAATCATTTCTCATTTGCTATCAACTACCTTCCAATAGCAACGAAACTGTAAAACACTTTTGATTCGAATCATCCATAACTGAAACGCTATGATATTAAAGAAAATTTGATCCAAATTGTTTAGTAAGCAAAAACGAAAATGATTAATCTGTTGAGAACTTTTGCATTCTCATGTTGCATGTTTATTAATCATTGTTTTTTTGTCGTACATGTTTTTCCACACACATTTACAAACAAAAAAAAAAAAGAAGAACGAAATCTTTAAGATCGAATTTCACAAACAAACAAAAAAGGACAGTTGACTAGAAATAAATTAACTAACAAGACGGAAAGTATGTTTCTTTTTTTGTTAATCAAATTTGAAATGTGTGTATTTTAACTAATCGTTTATTATTTAATCAACTTCTTCAATTGTTGGTCCTTTTCCACCTGGTTTCGATCCACCATGACCACCACTACCTGGCATACCACCAGCATGAGCTCCGCCTTCACCACCTATAAATTATATAAAACGATGAATATTTTCTATATTTTAATATATATATATTTACTTACCATAAAGTTTAGCCATAATTGGTGAACAAATTTTTTCAATTTCTTTAAGTTTATGTTCAAATTCTTCTTTTTCAGCTAATTGATTTGTTTCCATCCATTTAAGTGCTGATTCAATTGTTTCAGTTATTTTAGTTTTATCATCTGATGAAATTTTCGATGAAATCTTATCATCATTAATACTTGTTTTCATATTGAAGCAATATGATTCAAGTGAATTTTTTGCTGATATACGTTCACGTTGTGTTTCATCTTCTTTCTTGTATTTTTCAGCATCAGAAACCATTCTTTCAATTTCATCTTTTGATAAACGACCTTTATCATTTGTAATTGTAATTTTATTTTCACGACCAGTTGATTTATCAACAGCTGATACATTTAAGATACCATTTGCATCAATATCAAATGTAACTTCAATTTGTGGTACACCACGTGGAGCTGGTGGAATACCGGAAAGTTCAAAATTACCAAGTAAATGATTGTCTCGTGTCATTGAACGTTCACCTTCAAAAACTTTAATATCGACACCTGGTTGATTATCAGAATAGGTGGTAAATGTTTGTGTTTGTTTAGTTGGAATGGTTGTATTACGTTTAATTAAAGCTGTCATAACACCACCAGCAGTCTCAATACCCTATTAATGAAACAAAAACAAAACAAATTATTAATAATAACAAAAAAAAAAATAACATTTTTCGTTCTTACTAATGAAAGTGGTGCAACATCAAGTAAGAGTACATCTTTAACTTCTTCTGATTTATCACCAGTTAAAATAGCTGCTTGTACAGCTGCACCATATGCAACGGCTTCATCAGGATTGATTGATTTGTTTAATTCTTTTCCATTAAAAAAATCTTGAAGTAATTTTTGTACTTTTGGAATACGTGTTGAACCACCAACAAGTACAATTTCATGAATACTTGCTTTATCCATTTTAGCATCACGTAAAGCTTTTTCAACTGGTTCAAGTGTTGAACGAAAAAGATCAGCACAAAGTTCTTCAAAACGAGCACGTGTTATTGTTGAATAGAAATCAACACCTTCATGAAGTGAATCAATTTCAATTGAAGCTTGTGATGATGATGATAATGTACGCTATACAAGACAAAAATAAATTAATATTATTAAACTTTTTTTTCAAAATTTTGAAAACTTACTTTAGCACGTTCACAAGCTGTACGTAAACGACGTAAGCCACGTTTATTTTGTGATAAATCTTTATTATTTTTTCGTTTAAATTCTTGAACAAAATGTGCTACCATTCGATTGTCAAAATCTTCACCACCTAAATGTGTATCACCAGCTGTTGATTTGACTTCGAATATACCTTCTTCAATTTTAAGTACTGAGACATCAAATGTACCACCACCCAAATCAAAAATAAGAATATTACGTTCAGCTGAAACTTTTTTATCTAAACCATATGCAATAGCAGCAGCTGTTGGTTCATTAATAATACGTAATACATTAAGACCAGCAATAACACCAGCATCTTTTGTTGCTTGTCGTTGTGAATCATTGAAATAAGCTGGTACAGTAATAACAGCTTCGGATACTTTTTTACCAAGATATGCTTCAGCTATTTCTTTCATTTTAGTCAAAACCATTGATGAAATTTCTTCAGGTGTGAATGATTTAACTTCATTTTTATATTCAACTTGAATTTTTGGTTTACTACCGTCATTAATTACTTTAAATGGCCAATGTTTCATATCAGCTTGAACAGTTGCATCATCATATTTACGACCAATAAGTCGTTTAGCATCAAAAATGGTGTTATTTGGATTCATGGCCACTTGATTTTTAGCAGCATCACCAATTAAACGTTCACTATCAGTGAATGCTACATAGGATGGTGTTGTTCGATTGCCTTGATCATTAGCAATAATTTCAACTTTACCATGTTGAAAAATACCAACACACTAAAATAGAATAATAGGTATGAGTACACAACAAGAAAAAATCATAACGTTAATTATTACATACCGAATATGTAGTTCCTAAGTCAATACCAATAGCGCGAGCCATTTTAGTTTAAGAGTGTAGTGAGAGTAGTTGAATGTGTAAACGAATACAAAAAATGTTCGAATAGTAGACAATGTAAATTGTGACCCGTGTTTAGTCTTTATATAGGGTAAGAACGTTTTCTTTCTGGTATAATCGAGAACTTTCTCTTAGAATAGTGGGGAAGGAAAGAACGAAAAAGAAAAAAAAGGAAGAAAGAAAGAAAGATACAATCAAGAATGTTCTACAACATGGTAGATTAATGGATGACTTTTTTTTATCTTACTCAGAATAAATAATATAAAAGAAATTTCTATTTTTCAGAAAAAGGAATTCTATCAAACGAAATTACGAGAAATTTTTCGATGTTTCAAATATATCCTAGTGATAATGAGCGACATCTTTCCAACAACAAAAAAATTAGTCATTTCATTTTACGAAGTAGAAAAAATCTAAATAGTCTGATAATGGAGAATGATGTCATTTAAGTACAAAATACACATTTGAAAATCTTAGAATATGAATTATTCTTCAAACTTTGTTTAATGAAATAATTGTCTCATTTTGATTTTTAACATATATTTTTTTTTTCTTTTTTTTTAAATCAAACTCGAAAACCAAATTATTATTATTTTATGTAATCGAGCTGTTTCATTACAATACATAAATAAAATACAACACAATAAATCAATGTTTTTTCTTGTTAATAAAATTTAATCTTCTGATGGATAACTAGATTCAAATGGTGAAAGTAAACATCGAATAGCTTTATTTTGAAGACAACCATTGATAAATTCCTCTTTTGATAATGATTGATTATGATCAAGATCCAATGTACGAAATACATCATAGGCAACACATTCTGGTGAACTATCACTTATTTGATTTCGTGTTATTGTAAAAAGTTTTTTTAACAATTCAATCATTTCAGTTGGTTCAATTGTTTGAGAATGATCTGTATCAAATAAAGAAAATGTATATTGTAATTTATCATGTGGTTCACCAATAGATGTTAATGCATATGCAATAAGAAATTCTTTGAAATCAATTCGTTGATTTCCTTGAATGAAAGAAAATTAATATGAAAAAAAAATTTCAACAATCAAAATTAAACAAACCATTATGATCAAATGCTTGAAAAACATTTTCAGCAATAGCTTCAACATTTTTTGTTGAAGAATTTTCTAATTCTTTGTAAAATTTAATAAATTGATGTTTATTTAATTGACCATTTGGACATACAGTTAAAAATTCTCGATACCAACCTTGAATAACATGTGGAGTTAAATGTGTTTGTTTCATCAAATATCGATAATCATTTAATGATAAATCTTCTTCTAGTTGATGTTGTTGTTGATTACCCATATCTTTTAGTAAAAAAGAAAAAAAAGAGGGAAAAAAACTAAAAGATTATCCCTCAATAAAACTTTAAAGCACGAGTTTTTGCACGTAGAAAGAAATTGATTGTCTACACCTATTCTTGTGTAAAAAGAAAGAGGCTTCTAGTAAATGTCACAGTCGTAGATTGTCTCGTTATGGAATTAATAAAAATGCAACGTATATTAGAAGTAAGGATAGAATAAAAAAAAAGAGGAAGAAGAAGATTGAACGCAGAATAACATGTTCTTGCTTTTTTAAAAAATTTTTCTTGTAGTATATATGAAAGAAAAATTATCACTACTGGAGTATTTTTTAATTGATTATTGTAATTTTTTTTATAGCATGAATTTTTTTATTTATGTGATAATAAAACGTTGATTTTTTTCTCTTGTTCTTTAGTTCAAGATATTCGCTGTTTTAACTTTTCTCGTTTATGCAAAAGATTCCTAATCGAGATATTTTGTTTTCATAAATGGAAAGGGTCTTCTTTTTTTCTATTAATCGTTTATTAAACCTATTTCAAGGTAAGAAGAAGAGTTCCTTTTCTTTTGCTTATAGGAACTAGATATTTAGTGAGCTTTCTGAAGAGAAAATATGAGAACGAGCATATTTTACTATTGATCTAATGTAGACTTCTTTCTGAGAGTAAAAAGAATTGAACTCCAGATGATTATCATAGAATGTATTAGTTATGTTAACGCTTTCTCAAATAATCATTTTAATTGTAAATATTTTTTTTATTCTACGAATACGTTTAGAAAAATGTTTACTGTGTATAAATAGAAAGTTGAAGCGTAAGCATGTTTCGAATCTAGCTATACAAGTATAATTATTTGATTGCTTGATTTGCCAGATGTCTTCTCATTGTATCAAAAGAGGAAATGCATTAAAATAGGAGGATAGTTTTCTTCATATGCCATGCCTTCAAATGTTGATGAAATTACAACAGAGAAAGAAAATATCATACAATAAATAATTAATTTGAGTTTATTATGACTTGAGGTTTTACTATAAAAATGCGTCATTGAAAAAGTAATATAGTCTAGTGCCTGTCATGAACCGAATACATAGAAAACGTGATTCTATCAAATAGACTATTTTTGTAATGGCATCATAAGATCATGACATGTTCAGTGGTAAAATATGAATTAAGTTCTATTTTAAAAAAGACTCAATGATATGTTATTATATAGAAATGATGTATTCATTGGAAGCATGATAAAATCGTTTAATTTTATCGATAATGAAAACATAGAAAAATCGTATTTTTCATAGTTCAGGTCGAAATTAGCCCATCAGTTTCCGTAGTTACTCGATAGTAGAAACATGCTTGATCTGACGAAAACCAAAAGCATTAAATTATTCAGTATTTCTATTTGTGATTTTCCATTAAGACTTTACATGTATCTAAATCTGACAAAAGAGGAAAAGTTAAGTTTTGCTCAAGAAGGTAGAATCATAACTAAACAATATGAAAACTATTCTGAATCAGTTGAGTTAGGTGATTATCATTTAATAGAAAAGGATCGATTCAGTTTTCTCCATAATAAATTAAGTTTTGAAAGTAAGTTGTCTTCATATTTCTCGTTTTTATTTGTTAGCTTCTTTTTTTGTTATTTAGATTTATCATTCATTTTTTATTCTTTATTTACATTATGCGAGATGTCAATTTAATAATAAGTTTATAGTTTATCTATTCATTTTAATTATTTTAATTATTTAGCAGTTGAATTGAGTGAACAAATCAAATAAATATTTTTATCTATTTTTTATTCTTTGTATAACTTCATTACTCAATATGTCAAACAAACAATTAATTTAGATTAAACAATTAGATGAATTTTTTTCTGAATTCTTTATTTTGATTTATTATTAAGGGTTTAAATTGAATGATGAATTCAAATATTCAGGATGAAGAATTCCAGATTTGGATACTATAGAAAACTGTAAATAATTCGATAAATTCTTACGAAACTTCGTCAAAATCTTTGATACAAGATCTCGATCGAAAGTCAGATCCTACTGGTGGAAAACGCCGGATGAACCAAGGATCCAGTTGATTTTTCAGAACGATATCAACTACGAAGTAACTCAGGATTAATGTAAATGGCTGCGTACAATGCCATAAACTACACCATATGGCATCACTTATGGTTGTCTCTAATATGATGTTATATCAACCATTATAGTTGTTTGTTACATTATTTAGCATAGCACCTGTGTGTGTAGTTGTGAAAGTAGATCTAAATAAAATAAAATATTGATTTAAAACCAATATTTACAGTTCAATCAGTGGTTCGAATAAATCTAAATAAAGAAATAAAATTCGTTGTTTTTTTTTTCAAATAAATACGATTGAATTCGTAGTCACATTTTAAAAGTCGATATATATAGCAGGCTCAATAAGTGTAATGCAACTCACGGCTAGCTTATGGATGACGTATGATCGTGTATGGTAGTGATGCGTGACGATGATTTAGATTCATTGTTTAAGTTTTTCCTATTTGAATATATAGTGACAGATACGACGGGTCTTGTTTGATATTCGTGAAAGACAATATTCAATAGGTTAATTGTCGTCAGAATTGATAAGTATCTACTGTTGAACTCTACAAACAGAATCCCAAGGAATTCGACCATAGAAAATCAAAGGATCAAAATGGTTTTCAAAAGGCATCATAGTTTCATATTCTGTTTTGGTTTTATTTCTTTAATCCCAATTAAATATTGTAGTAAATTTAAATGGAAGAATTTATGTTGTTTAGTAATCATTGTTCTATTTTATCTATAATTTGATTTTTAATCGTTGCTTAGATCTATAAGGGAAAAGTGTATGTGCAGTCTAGGACAATTGTCGGAAACCAAGACTTTAACTGCTTGATTTCTGTTGCCCACAACGCAAATTGATAGCTGTTTTCCACCAGTTTGGAGGCCTCAATCCATCATTCTAGATTGCGTAGCGTTTTTATTGGAACATAAGCGCTGCCATTTAGAATCGTTTCTGTCAAAAGCTGACGTGCACAAAGTATTGCGACTTTTTTTTCATCGTATAATGCCTTATTTAAACCTGTTTTCTCTGCATATAGCCTATTTAAATTACTGCCTTTGCACCCTAAGTAACACTCTATCAATGCTTTAGAATAAAAAGAAACTATTATTTCAAGGATATGCGTATTTTTTAGTAAGAAACTAACCAAACTGTTTTTTCGCTGTTTTTATAAGTTTGCAGAACCTTTGTTTCAATATAAAGTGAGCAACATCATTGGAACTTGTCTAAAATTTTTATTAGTTGTTTAGGATGCAAAAAAAACGCTTTCTATCAGATTCAGTACTAACCTATGAAAATAATGACGAGCAAAAAAAGATGCCAAGATGTGTACTTTTACTCTATAACGTGACATTAATATCATGTCAATTATCATGTGGCATGACACAGAGATGATTTTGTGGAGGGCGCATCATGTGGTCGATAAGGACTTAGCAAACTTTATCCATTCGTGCCTAAAATATCTCAAAAAAGTTGCATGAATGTCTCACATGTACAAAAAGAAGATTTAAGGAAAAAACAAGAGTGAAATACACTGCAAGACAACAAACACTGGGACGTAAACAATGACCGTAAAGGATGCCGTTTATCACTGTCTTTCGTCATTTTAGGACGCTTCGTAACTGTTCATCAGAACGGCAGCCATTTTTGAGTTATTTACGACCGTTTACGAGCAGTTCTATTCGATCTGGGAGGTCAGTTAAAATAAAAGTTGTGTTTTTTTTTCTTGTGATATTAATTTCTACATATTACTTAAAATATCAATGTAATTTTAAGTTTGATAATAAAAAGTAATTCTATCTTTTTATTTAGATTTATTATTTATCAATTAAATATATTAATAAGCAAAAACAAAGAATATTTTAATCTGCTGATTTTAAGTCAGTTATCTACAGGAAAAGCAGTAGGAATAGATGAGTGGAAGGTTCAAACAATGAATGGTATTTAGATGTAAATCTAGAATGATCCTATTAGATTCTGCATGTGTACGACGTTTCTAGATGTCGGATTTAACATTATACAACTTCCTGTTATAATTCTATGCCAAAAGGTTCGACAAGTTTCGAGAATATCCCATCGGAAGCTATGGAAATGTTTTGAATAAGCTACAGGATTCGAGCCCAGGATTCTTCGATCTAGCAGATATCAAGGCTTATCAAGTGCTCATGTAGATTAATATTGACATGAATATCATTGGTACTGCGTAGCTCAAACTAAATTAAGTGAATCGATTATCATTGACTTGAATTACAAAATTGATTATTTCATTCGCCTAAATTCTATATAATTGAATATCTTTATCGTTTTCTCAAAGAAATAGTCTGATCAATATTTTCAACACGTCGAATGAAGTCAGAAGCTGTAGATAATTTTAATAGGATGATAATCTACTCAAAGAATACATGTTATACATTGTTCTAATCATATGTATGGAAATTAAGCACTCATTTGAATACTAACAGACCTTTAGCTATGTATCTATGTGATAACTAATGAGAAACTACCGCCAGTATATCGATTGATCTAATATGCATTTCGTTGTCTTCGAAATCATCAAAAGATTAATGATTCGTCCTGATACAGTAGGGTGCAAAAAATATTACCACTCGACATTCTAGCTTTCGAGTCTTACTTCTGCATTTCGCATAGGAATAGTTCGAGAACCCTGACGAAGAATAATTGGTCCGAATGGGTGTCACTAGCAATCAAAAGTCGATGTAAAATATTGTTCAGTAGAATGAGAGTATCTGAACCATCGACCAAGAAGATTTTTCAACAAGCTTGTTATTTATGATACACTAATGAAGACAGAATCATTGTTGAGAAGAAAAAATTATCTTTCTCACAAAGATCATTTTGGTGGGTTATTTGTTACAATATTGCACAATCAGATGAGCACGTCATTGTAAACGACAAGGACAAAAATAACCCGCATTACAACATCAGATTTGAAGACGGCATTAGATTCAGAGAACAACTCTGAAAGAACAACTCTGAAAGAACAATCAATCATGACGACAAAGAGTTGCGAAGAAATGAAATGGAACAGAATATTGTAGGTATAGTTGAATGAATCGTAAAGCATCAGCTTCATCTAATGGGATACAGAAGTATTCTAGCTCGAGAAGCGCTGATATTACCATTAGAGAACACAATGAGACAGAGACAGTGAACGACGTCACTATGAAAAGTCAACTGGAGCCCAACTGTGCTTTCTGATGAGACCTAGTAGTGCCTATTTAAAGTCAGGATTCATGGTAGGTCTAAAAATCCTCAGCAAGAATTTCAAACAGTGAGTAAAAGATAATTAATTTGAAAGCTCTTAGTAACAAGATTCAAATTTCAATCTATTCATTGTTTAGGATCATAATTTGATCCATATGTACAGATTCTTCAAAGTCATCTCGTCTGTGAAAAAGAAAGGAATTTTGACAAATGAGTTCGTTTCAACAAGATAAATTAGTTATTACATAAGTAGTCTGTCAATATAAAATTTTGGAGTCGTAGGTACTTGAAATGATTAAATGCCCATCGAGCAATGCAGGATTCAATGTAGATGAAAAGCTCGTAGTTTATCGTCAGGTAACATGTTTCAAAACTGAAACTAGCTAAATCTCGATGAATTAGACAAGTTTTAACACAAACAGTATCGAAGAGAAGAAACTTCAGGTATAAATTATTGAATGACATTGATAAAAAGGAAATGTTTGGGACACTTATTCTTTCAAGAAAAAAACAGAAGCAATCAATGATTGTTATCATTTTATAGTCTGCTGTATTTTATTTTTGCTGTCATCTATATATCAAAACAACAATCATGAGCTGAAATTAAAAGTAATTGCTGATTTTGTTTTTGATGATTCAGACAATTTTTTAGATGAATCGATGATTATCCTTCATTATATCTATAATAGGCGTGGCGTTATTCATGCAATTTCGATTCTACTGTTATACCAAGACGTTTTTTTTTAACTAATTTATGATGATGAATATTCTTATTCTAATATTGACTGCACAGGTTATTTTGCATGAATAGAGAATGTAATCAAAATTTAACAAAAATGGATACGGCATGCAGTTCTATGTAGTTAGATGAGAACACAATCGAAAAATAAAAAAACGTTCATATGTTGAAATGGATGTTTTGCATTGAGGTTTTTCTTTGAAATCATTCCACGTATGTTCATTTGTTTTTGTTAATACATGCATGATCTAAAAAAACATGATCTGAAATTATCTGATTATATTATCAACAACATCTTTTGATGTAAATGAATATGAATGCGGAGTTCATTTCAATCTCTTTCCACATTGATCAATCTCACTAGTATCATACTAGTAACATCCATGGCGAAACTAAGTTTTTCTTTTCATTTCAGATTCCTTTGATTATATTGAAAAAATGTGTAGAAATTATATTTTACTCACAATTTTACATGCTTGCAATATTTTCCTAACTAATTGACGATTGGCAATTATTGACTGAAATCAGTGATTACATTTGATTTATCAGTGGTTACCAAAATATCGTTTCTTGCACAATAATCGCAATAAAATCTGATTTAATCACTGATATTTCACAACATAAGCTATACTGAGAAACGTTTTCTTGAAATGTTGTATTAGATGAAAACAGATGAATATTTTTGAACTCTGTTAAAACTTACAGAATTCAGTCGATTTCGATGCACTCGGATAATGTTGATGCGTCTGAGTTACCCATACTAATCGCAAAGCAGAAATCAGCCCAAGTTATGACATCAATCTCTATTAGTAAAATATATTCTGAAACTGTTTTCTTCTCAGGTAATTTGAATTTTTTCTAAAAAGTAATTCGAATTTGAATAGAAAATGTTCTATACAATAGTTTATAGCAGGAATTCAAGTCATAAACACTATTATTGGTATACTTGCGGAAGTGCGAACAAACGTACGACATAGGGTATGAACTATAGAGAGTCTCAATTGAAATTCTTTCCATTATTTTTTTTTTACTCAAGGCTACTGCATTTTGATCTTTTTTAATAATTGATATACAGCAAGGAAACATACGCTTCATTATGTAGGTAGATATATTTATCATGAATAAAATATAAAGTACCGAGAAGAAAAAACAAAGTACACAAAAAAACAGCATATTTTTTTACCATAATATATGATAAGGTTAAATCGAGTTTTTGTTTCTTCCCCTTTTTTTGTATCTATGAACATATCGAACTTCTACTAGTATATGATAATTTCTGATACAGAGAATGATAAAAATGAACTTTTTAATAGTCAAATAATAGTTAAAATTATATTTGTTTACAGGTACAAAAATAACTGAAGGTTAAAAGAATATATTTATCTCACTGCACATTAGAATCAAAAAAAAATATCGTCTTTTTTTGCGCCGCATTTTTTGTTCTCTGTATTTTATACTTTACTCATGATAAAAATATTCAAGAAAAAATATGGTAGAGATTCATTTGTAGTACATTGTATATCTATAATTATTCTAACTTAATGAACTTTCGCAATGATTTAAGCAAATATTCATATGTCAATTTCGCTTATGACAACTACGTCAAAGTATATATGATTAATGATGCCCATGATAATTATAGTTTTAATGTAAAGAAACAGAATTTATATCCATGAGTAACAATGTATCGCTCATTACATTTCGTCAATGAGACGATTATCTGAAATAAACATAATCATCACGCCTTCAACATATCGGGGAGACAGGCAATGGATAGACATACAGGGTCGAAATTGAATAAAATGATTTGCATAATTACCTTGATGATTCTTTTCTCTTTCTCTCTCTCTTTCTTACTTTTCCTTTGATTTTTTCGAACGAACATATGAGAAGGCGAATGAGAATCTATATAGAATGCAAGCTTACTGAATAATATGTTTGGTATGCATTTCTGTTTTTATTTTTATACATTCTCTCTTTCTTGGTAACTCTATGAATATTTTTGTTCTGATCTACCGTCTTGTTCTTTTTTTCCTGGGGTTTTCTCCACCTCCGAAAAAAAAATGAAGAATCAGTCAGCCGTGTTGACAATGATACCAAGTCGTTGTTGATGATTATGCATCGTCCAACATGAATAAATATAACGTCTATTAACGATCAATAAACGAATAACAACAAAATCGAGAAGGATACTCAACACATACCGTTTTTGTATATGCAGTATATGTAGAAAACATCAACAGTTATAATTTCGCTCTCTATAAATCCTATCGAACTTGTTTATACGCTGACAGCAAAAGAAAAGAAAGAGAAAAGAAATTAACTTGCTTTAATTAGCATATGGGCTGCAACAACGGTAAGCAACATGATGAGAAGGGAAATAATAAGAAACAATCAACTATTCAAAAAGTATTACGTTTTCAATCACGTCGAAAGTCCAATCCACCACGGCCAGTAAGTTATGCAGGAATAGATCAACATCATGAACAACATCATGTTTCAACTCGACCTTTATCTATGTTTGATGCTCTACCAACACATGATTTAGAAATAAGTGAGACGAATTATATTGATTAATTTATTAGATAAAACCTTTTTGTTTTTCAACCGAATAAAGAAACATCAAATTATGATGTAGATAATCAACATCAGACAATGCCCGAGAGAAACATATTGTCTCATTTGACATCAAGACAATTATCTGAAACAACAGAATCAATAATATCAGGTAACACAGCAAATTTAATACTATTCAAATTATAACTAATTATGTCTTTTTACAACATCAGTTAATTCTTTCGATCAGACAACTGCCATTGCACGCTATGAGCAACCATATCAAAAAGACGGCGATTTATTTATTATCGACAAGTAGGTAAGTCCAATGTTTATATATAAACATGAATATTTATCGTGTTTATCTATTTTTAATAAATAGATCGAATGAAACTTTAATAGAAAACAATCAAAATGATACTAATTCATATGATGAAAATGATTGGAAATATTATACACCATTAACACTTGAAAAAATTCGTACAATACCTATACTAAAAGATATAGTATATCATTATATTAATAATGAATTTTTTCATATATTAAACCGTTTACTTCGACTTGAAAAAAATGACGAAAATGAAGAATTTCTCGAATGGTTTTTTGATGAACTTGAATATTTAATGCATTCATTAGATGATAATAATCAATATGAACATAAGTCTTTACTTTTAAGTGCAATAGAGCAAGATCGTTATGATTGTATGAAATATCTTTTAGAACGTCAATTATTGACAAGTAAACTTGATATAAATATAACAAATGATCAAGGTCGTCATTGTTTATTAATGCTTGCACATAGAAATAGTCCGATTGATTCAATAAAATATTTATTAACTCGTCATCTAGCATGTCTGGATACAAATAAACTCGATCTAAATGCATTTAGTTCCTTACACCATGCATGCCGACATTTTAATTTACCTCTATGTGAATTATTACTTCCACATACAAATAAAAAATTATTACAAATGGAAAACTCTGAATTACGTACACCACTTGATTATTGGATTGAATGTTTATGTTCATTAAAAAAATTAAAACCAACAAACATTCATCCTCAGTCCGGTACATTATGTCTCGATTATTTACTTAATGATGCTGATTATCATTGTAGTATTTTATTTTTTCAAAAACTTATTAGTCATGGTGGACAATTAACAAAAATTCCATTACGTTATATACGTTCGGTTTTACCACATTTAACATTTGAACAAAAATTATCATATGTCGATCATCATGTTAATCTTTGTTGTACTTTATATAAAAATCGTTTATCAACATTAATACGTGATTATGATAATTTAAAAATCAGTATACAAGCAGGAGACATTTTAACAGAATTTATTTATGCATTAGGTATTGTACAACTTGAAGTACAAACTCGTTTAGCAGCACATGCTTATTCAAGTGTTTATGAAACAGCAATACAACATATTTATCGTGAAAATAATTTAGAAAATTCTAATAATCAATTAAGAATAAAAGAACAGAATACTTTACAATCAACTATGCGTATGCTTTATTTTAAATTTTTTCGTTTATTTCAATGTATTTATAATAATCCAGATGTTAATGTAAAAAATTTTCATTTTGAACATATATTTCGTCGTGTTTGGGTTTATTGGAAAGAACCTGTGAAAGCATTTATTGTACAATGTAAAGAAAAAAATTCATCATTAAAATCTCTTTGTCGAATATTATTATTTAAACGTTTAATTAATTATCCAGCTGATATTCAAAATTTACCAATTAATTTATCTTTAAAACAATTCGTTGCATTTGATAATCCGTTTTTTGTTGTTGAAAAAAAATATTAACTTAAATGAAATATTCACTTCTATTTTTTCATTATTTTTATTTTTTCATATTTATACTATAAATAAAAAATCTCGATAAATTAAGAATTTAAAACTATTTTCAATTTATTGAAAATATAAACAGTCTTATAATCATAATAGTATTAATTGATTGGTCAGTCAAGCAAGGATCTCATAAAGATAATAATAAATTCAAAAAATTCTGGTAATTTTAATGAATAATAATCAATAATTTTCAATTATTGGAAGCGTATATACTCTTCCATTCTTTCGCGTCCTTTTCATAGAAATACTATTTTATTTCTTTATCATATTTTAAAATTTCTATTTGACAGTTTAAAAAAGCTTGATGGAACAGTAGAGTATGTGTTGTAAACGCATTGAGCTTATTTCATCATTTTACTCGTCATGAACATCTCATGTTATCGAAATCGCATCACTTCTATTGATTAATTAGTGATTATTCGGATATTACAATAAATCGTGGATCATCTAATCATTTTCTTGAACAGTGAATATTATTTTATTAAATGGTAAACGGCACTAGTATACATATTGAGACGTAAGTATTGTCGCAAAAATCTGAACACTACGACCAAGTCGGATTATTGACAAGATTATTTGAATAATTACAATGAAATTACCATCTTTTAGTGCGATTTCAATGAGATGGAATAAGAGAATAATAGGGAACCAGTAGGCTTTCTATAAAATCATGATGCAAATGTTGCAGTCTTCTAGTACTGATCAAAAGTTCTTGTAAACATAGTAAATAAAACTCCTTTTCCCTTCGCTCAACAACAAAACTGAAATAGCCATTTATTATTTTTTTTCTTGAAACTAAGCAACTCCGGATTAGTTTTACAGAAGAAATATTGCTCGTGAATTAAATGGGAAGTCGAGACGCAAATGTTGAATTCATGTCAAATATAATTATCCACTAAGTTTTGTTTTTCCTACTTAAATATCGGTTAAAAGCAAGATTTCAAGACTTTACTTGTACTTCAGGGTACTAAAATCTGACTTTTTCTCCTTGAGTCTAGGTCATCAAGACCTCTAGTGTTTACATCCATACTGTGTAGTTGTATTGTGGCCTTGTAGCAGTCTATACTGTCAAACTCTACTTTTTCTTAATTATAGATTCAATAAAGAATATATACATAACACATGATATCTATCATTTTAGTAGATGTCACTCAATATCAATACACTGTTGACTGAGGCAAGGTGTACAAGAAGTATGGCGAAGATGAACGAAAGCGTATCATTAAGACGCAACTTAACCATTTCTTGCTCTTTTCAATCGACCATAAAAATAAATAGATTAGTCATTTAGAACGAACAAGAATGAAAAAAAGTTCAGTATTCGCTAATAAGAAAGGTCCTTTAGGAAATGGACATGGCACACCAATTAATATTTCATCTACATCATCCTCTCTTTTTGATAATAGTCTACAACAACAAAACCCATTAGGAGGATCAGCTCGAAATTGGCAAGCTACACCGACAAATACACGTCGATTAGGTCCTTTTCATCATCAACAATTATTACATCCATCGAATTCATCTACAAGTATTAGAGCATATGCTATAGTTCCAACAACAGCTGTGACTACAAATACACCAAATACGAGTATTATCAATCGAGCTAAACCATATACAATTCAAGGTCTTGTAGAAAATCTTAATGAAGTAACGAACTATTATTAATCTTTCATTTTTCTCTCTTACTATTTTTCTCTGTCTATAGTTACTTGCTGAACTTTCTATTCCTCATTCAATGCGTTATGAAACAAAATATGGCTTTGAAGACATTCTTACTGTTCTCGATGTATGTAATCTTTTGTTTTTTTTTCTTAAATCTTGTTCATATGAATAATGATTAATAGTATCTAGCAAATCCATCTGGTTATGAAAATCAACGTTTTCAACCATTTCCACCTGCACCTCAACCAAATAAACTAGGTGGAAAAGTTTCATTAACAGATCGGTGGGCATATTTAAAACATGTTTTATTAACCTATCGTCTTTCAACCATAGAACAACTTACACGTATTAAGCCAGAACGTGCAATGTCAAATGAAAATGTAATGATTATGATTGATTTATTAATTCAATTAATAAAATGTATTATTAAAAGTGAACATGAACAAGAACGTATATTAGGAAATAATTATTTAAGAGAATTTAAATTATTAATGCGTCAAATGTTTTGGCTTGGTCGACATGATCCAGCTGTTATGGAAGAATCAATGTATGAATTAAGACATCATATTTATGCTAAAGATAATCTTGAAATAGTTGATAAATTAAAACATGAAAAACAAATGAAGGAAATGATAATTGAATGTAATCAACTTAAACAACAAGTAAAGATTTATAAGTAAAGTTTTTTTTTGTTGTTGAATATCAATTTATTAAATATTTAGTATGAACTATTAAAAACAACTTGTAATGAACTTGAAAATGAGTGTACCATATTAACAACATCAAATGAAAATGATCTTAATGAATTTACAAAAAAACAAGAAGAAATATCTGATGAACAAGCTAAATTAGTGGAATTAACACAAATTGTTGAACAAAAAGGTATAAAAATTTATTTTCATTTAAAAACAATTGGTTGTTCATATATATTAATATATTTAGAAATGGATAAAAAACATTTAACTGATCGTAATCAATCATTATCAGATCGACTTTTTTCTCAACAAACAGATGCTGAATTACAAAGTCATATCCGTTCAAATGGTGAACTTAAACAACAACATGAAGTTCTTCTTTCTTCATTACTTCTTGAACAGCAATTACATTCAACAGCAATTAATGAATATAAACGACTTGTCAAAGAAGTAATTAACTCAAACTTTCTTTCAAAATACATCAGTTCAAATTTTTGGACTCTCAGAAGAAAAGTTCTTTCGCTAATAAATGGCTCCTGAGTCGAGACTATGTGCATTATGTAAATCCAAATGACCTATAAGTACCTTGAGAAGAATGAGGAATCTTCACTTATTGCTGCGAAGATATTGCAACTTTTTCGACATTTTACTTAATGAATGCTACAGTAACAGAAGTACTAATTTTTGAATTTTAATTTGAAACTTTGCATAGAGACAGTCCTTAACAAGAATAGTTTTCATTATTCCTATCCTATGATTCAACTTTAGTAATAACGTGTCTTTTATATTACTTATCTAAATCAGCAAATTTGATCTTGGCATTCCAGGATAGAAGTAAAACAAAAGTCCTGCAACTTTCACAAGAATCTATCGTTATTAAGTACTATCTCCATGAAAAGTTCCAGATCGAAAAATACCAGTTCTGCTACTTAGGCATTCATTTAAAAACTAATTACTGCAAGAAACTCGGAAAAAATATTTCGAACAGAAAAATTTCGAAAGATGTCCTCTCATTCTATCACCACTTAGTTAGTGTCATGTAAATAGTGCTACCAATCGAAAATTTTTCGATTGTAGGTGTGAACAAGGAGAAAACTCATCCCATCATACTGACAGCCACCGCCACCTGACACCCATATTTGCAACCTTGAAACAAGTAAATGATCTTTCTTTATTAATTATTTTACAATTTTCAATTTCATTATTTCATGATCATGTATTTTTCAAATCATGTATTAAGTACAAACACACATTGTTTAATTTTAAAATCATATACTGAAAACTGTTTAAGATTTTTTTCGAGACTTTTACAGAATACCTAAAAAAAAACCGTAAAAGTGCAATAACTTCGCACCAATAAGATAAGGATCCAAATTCTTTTCAAGATATCCAAAGCCTATTTAGGTCTACATGATGCACATAATCTCGACTTCGAAGCAATTTATCAATTGAAGGGTATTCCTTCGTCAGCCAATTAAATGTTTTAAGAGAAGAACCAAGTTGATTGAAACTTTGATCTTAGATTCAGTTAATTTACGTATTTCCATTTCGATTCCTTGAAAGAAACAACTTTAGAGTTAATAAAAATTATAAGATACAGACATATTCAGTAGAAACTTTGAGTGTAGTTAAGATTCCTTCAAAATTCGGTCTTGAACTAGATGCATTCAAATCATATAAAATTTTTATCCATATATCATGACATGTGTGAGAGATATTCAACGAACAAGGGTCAGATATAGGTCATTTGACAACTCAAAATTCTCTCTTGACACTCTTTTCTATAGATACGTTTTATGCGGAGAAGAAAGAATAACGAGTTAAATATCTCACAAAATGCCTATCTATTTCTATAAAATGCTTTTTTTATATGATCATAAAAAAAATGGGCATTACAGCTTCGCATACTCTTTGAAACAAAAAAAAGTAAGTGATTACAATGAAGTTCCTTCGAAAGTGCGATTAGATAAGCATAAACAGAAAAAAAAGGCTTATTTTTCAAGTGTAAGGCGGCAGAAATCATCAAAAGTTTTGGCAAAAAACTTATAGCAATCGGTTTCGTATTGTTAATTCTTTTGTTTTACTAGTTATTTTAAAAGATTTTTTATTTTTTTCTAGTTACAAGAATCACTTACTAAATATCAAATCTTACTTAGTGCATATAAACATAAAGCACCTCGACCACCACCATCTACCGTTGATTTTTGTTTAAGTGATATTATTGGTGATACAACATCAATTATAGATAATGATTGTATAAAACAAGCACAAACAGCAATTGAAAATTTGACAAAAGAAATCAATGCTCAAGAAATTTCACTTACACAACGTCATCGTGATCTTGAACAAGAATCAAAAAAAGTAAGTAGATATTTTTTAAAATTATTTTAGTAAATGAAAACCAATTATTTCATATAGAAAATTGAAGAACTTCAATCAGCTGAACGTGAATGGAAATCAGCAGCTAAAAATGGACAACGACGAGCAGCTCAACAAAATGAATTAAGTCGTTTTCAACAAGAAATTCGTTTAATACGAACAAAAATTCTTGAAATTGAAAGACGCATTGAAGAAAAAAAAACATCAACGATTGAATTA